ACACTATATATATATTCTGTGGACAGCCAATTTTAATTGAGAAAGTCAGGTACTTGTCAGAGAGAAAGAGAAACAGAAGAAAATAGAAAAATAAGGTATATCTGAAAATAAGGGTTGACTTACTCTTTCCCAGCTATAGTTGAGCTTAGGGAAGGAGTAGTCCTTGAGTCCAAGAGATGAATGAAGTATAGCGCTGGAGGCTGCTTAGTATAAGCATACTATTCTTTTAGCCTGGTCCAACGTGCGCAACTGTACTTTTTTACAAATACAGCTGTCAGGAAGCTTGTGGAAGGGGTGTCAGACCTTCTGCACAAAAAATACAATTCAAAGGAGAGGGAGGGGGGGAAGGTCAAATCCCCATGTTTCAGAATAACTTCATTCTTCTTAAACTCACAGTGTCAGCTCAATATGGAATGTAAAGAGGGAGTGTGTGTAATGGATGTGCTTTCCTCCAAAGTGATTGTCTCTACATGAGTTGGGCAGCAGCATTTGGAAGTGCCTGCACAATGGGTCAGTGAGCTTTGCATCCCCATGTCCCCTATCCAGTGCCTGAAGTGCCCTAGCAGAAGAGTTCCACCACATCAAAGTCTAGTGTGGTCTTTGCCAGAGACCACCACAGTTTTATTGCTTCAATTGTTATGATCTTGACTGTTGCTGCCAGATCAGGGTTTTTTTCTCCCCACAATATAAATCTTTCCATTTTTGACAACTACACAAACACTCACATCCTTGAGGAACCTATGTACACAAACCAAAAAGGCCAAGGAATTGTTCACTGATCACTTGATCAGCAAGAGCACACCACACTTTACACACTCTGGAAACTGCCCACTTGGATACAGGTATGTAGTGCACTGGCCTGATCCAATTTCTGTGGAACTTTCAGCCCTGTAAAGGACATAAGTAGTGTAATTAAGTGTATGTTAAGAAACATATATACAGGGTCTAGTAGTGACACTCTAAGAGACAAATTGAGTGACCAATGAGATCTTGACAGCACTCTATAAAGATAGGAGAAAGGGCAATCTTTCTACTGAGGACCTGAGAGAGTATATAAACCCCCCTCTCTGGTCCTTATGGGTATGGGTTGCGAGAGGGTCACTAACTTTTGCATCAAATTTGATGCAAAAGTTGAATACTACCGTCGGAGGCACGACAGAGGTAGTTAAGGTCCATGCACACGGTCCTCTAAAGTGTACAGGAGACAGACGGCCAGACCCTTAGCATAAACCTTAAAATTCTAGCCATCCTAAGGGTCTGGCCCAGGACAATCAGTGTAGCCAGACTAGGACAACAAAGCTGATTGACCCAGCCAAATTGATAGACAAGAGAGGAAATATTATCCTCTTGATCATAACCTGAATTGTCCCTCTCTGTCCCCCAAGTCTGTCTGTCCTGAAATTTCTCCGAACCTGTTCATCAAAATCCTTTTCATTTGATTCTTCCAGCTTCTCATATAATCAAATTTGACAAACTTAAGATAACTTCACTCCTGAGATATGAATTATCTCGTACCATTCTGGTTACCAGTCATCTTAAGTTTTTCTAATACCACCCTCCCACCCTTCTTCAGTAAGACCACGAAGAGGAAGAGAGTGAAAGGGGATAATGTAACTCATCACTCCTATTGATAATATTCCTTGAATTTATCAAATTCAACTCTACAGTTTTTTATGTCTAGTAATAATTTCAGACATGTATACCGTGAAATATTCCCAGTGACATTTCACAGAAGTTACATAGGAACTGTAAATCTTACACTCACTATACCCAAAACACTGGTCTTCTGAGAACCGCAAAGTTTAGGAAGACCTAGGGATTTTAATCCCGATAAGTGTACATAAAAGGAAGTAAATGAAATGGATTAGTGATTTTGATGAATCACTAGCTGGTGATGCCCTAATTGGGCATGAGTGTGGGAACCCGGGTTGCATTAAGTACATCAAATTTGATGTAATGAGAGGGTTTAGTGCAACAACTGTGGATGCCCTTACGTAGTAGATGTATTACAGTAAATTTGTTGTTATTCATTGAAGTCTGCCTCAAACACTTCAACACATTTAAGACAAATAAATCTTTAATTTATTATAATCTCAACATTTCATCAATGGCTTCCAGAAAACCACTAGCCGGGTCATCATCCACATTAGCCAAGAATTACAATCCCCCCAATCGAATTACCCCATTATCTAACAAACTTGAACCTAATCCGATCACAAGCACAGGTCTCAATAAGGCCATCGTAGGTCCTAGTAATTTAGAACGCGATCAAACTGGTCGTAGTGTTGAATTCTTTGTAAGTCACGGAAACCTTTATTCTCAAATGCTTTCTCTCTAAAAACAAACTGAACTTTCAATCTTTTCATTCTTTGCAACAACAAAAAACAGTCTGACACTGATGTATGTCCAGTATGTAACTCGGATCGATATTTGAACCCAGATCTTCGTCTCCTAGTCTCTCGATGTTATCATAAAATGTTAGTCAAAAAGAACAGATATTGAGAGAGTTATGAATTGATTTACACTTTCTCTCTCTCTTCTTATAGGTGCGAGTCTTGTATCGATCGAATCTTTTCATTGGGTCCTGAGCCTTGTCCAATATGTGGACAGATCCTTCGAAAGAGTAACTTTGCGCCTCAAACTTTTGAGAATTTGAAAGTTGAAAAAGAAGTGATCATTAGGAAAAGGATAACTAAATTGTAAGTAAAAAATTATGTAGACACATCTTGATCATATTTCAAAGAATGGATTTTATCACATCTGATTGACTTGAAAAAAAACTGTCACATTGGAAATCCGCTACATTGATTCGTTTTTTAACCTCTTTTTTGAACTTGTAGTTTCAACAAACGACCAGAAGATTTTGCCAGTTTAACAGATTATAATAATTATTTAGAGGAGGTGGAAGATATTAGTTAAGTTTTTTTTAATTATTCAAAACGATCCTATAAACATATTCAGATTTCAATATGACTCTTCATGTCCTTGACCCACATCTGATTATTGTTTAGTGTGAATTTAAATTCCCAACATATACAGCTTTCAATTTAATTAATGATGTAGATGTAGCAGAAACAGAAGCAAAGATCAAAAAGTTTAAACAAGAGAATCAAGATTTGATAGCACAAAATGTAGTGCACGAAGCTAGACAAGCTGAATTGATTAAACGTAAAGAAGAAGCGATTAAACGTGAACGTGAAGAACGTAAAGCTGAATTAATTAGGTTAGAGGAAGAAGCTCGAAAAGAAGAACGAGCTTTAAAAGATGAGACCATTAATAGTTTGGTGAGACCTCTGAGTGCCTCTCTTTTCACGATCACTTAGGATTTATTGGTTCAAAAATGAGTCGAACTGATTAATTGATTACATTGCATATCATAGGCAACATCGGATGTGAGTGCTGAAAAATTAATAGCTCGACAGAGAATCTTAGCACAAAAGAAGTCAGCGGCACGAGCATTAGCAAGTGATATAGCCACTAAATCAACACTTTCAATGCCATCCCTTCATGGATTACTAGATTCAACAACAAATCAAACAGATGAGGTGCAAAGACCAGATATAGAATTAGAATTAAATAAATGGAATAATTATTCCAATTTATTTGAATTACAAAGATTTGAAGACGCCTATAGACCTGGATATGTAGATGAACAATCAATTAGTCTTGTGATGAATGATAACGGTTTAGCTTTTGTTGGTGGTTTTAACTTGGAAGATGTTTGGGAAAGACAAATTCGTAGTTCACTTATGGGACTATTTGTTCCTAAACCTGAAGAAGGTTCTATCAATCAACTTATCTCTGATGATGCTATGGCTATTGATTTAGTTACTTCTTGATTCTTCTATCACCACTTCTTTCCGATTTTGGTGCCATTTATGTGGAATTGTAGAGATTTCTGGTCAAACAACGGTAAAACATCTTCTTGGCTTTTTTTTTTCTACCGGTAGTAATGGCGGTATCTAGTTTCAGGGTTTTCTTTCTTGTTATTTTATCGTAACAACGGTTCGATCATACTATAGAGATACACATTTTTTTTAGATCTTACTTCGTACCTTGTTGCGCTATCAACTGCATTTCTTCGGATGAAAAGCCAATATAGATCTGAGGCATGTGCTTCCAAACTTTGTTATAAAAATAGTCGTTTTAACTGTAACACAACATTATAATCTAGACCCATCAGATTCCATTCAACATGTAACAGTACTTGGCAAAGCAATAGCAGGCACCCCATAGTTTCTAAAAATCATACCAATCGAAAAACACTCAAACTGATCTCATTCATACCTATTATTCATCTAAGGCTTTGGACCCAAAAATACCTTTTGCGTTGGTTACATTTCGGACCCTAAAATCCAAACAAATCACTCAAAACATTCCCAATAATACTGCCGACGCCCCTATGATCCAAAGGCAATGTGATCAAAAGATATCTTGTCACGTTGCTTGAATGAGTCAAAAAAACCAAAGCCAAAAACATTCTATTTTTGTCGGTGAGGTCCCTAGGAACTAATCTGGAGGTCTGCAAGAGGATCACTATCATCACTTGATAGATAGGGTAGCGTTCGAGGACTTTTTTTTAAAAAAGTCTCCGACAGAAGTGAGATTTGAACTCACGCCCTCAAAGAGGAGTAGCTGATCGAAAAGCCAAGAATTCGAAACTACCGCCTTAACCGCTCGGCCATCCTGTCCTGTATGGATTGGAATTATCGGCTAATATGTTTATGTATTGTAGCTCATGATGCAACATGCTCCCTTCATAACATGCTTACATTCTCAAAAGACACGGTGCTCACCGATCATACTGACCCACAATTTTGATTGAAAGTGACTTGCGAAGCTTCATTACAAATGTGGCTCTGTTATCTTACTTCTTTTTCTTATAAACATTCAACTTATGTGAATACGCCTGGTTCAAGGTTGGATGAAAAAACAATTCATGGAAAAAAAAAAAAAGAGGAAAAAATCTTTTATGCAACTTATAAACATGTGAAAGCTAAATAAAATAAAATAGAAATGTAACATTTCAAAGGTTCAAGATTGGTCCTCATTCGAGTAGGATTCAGGTGATTCCTCAGCGAGTGGAGTTAAAGTATCGGTAAATTTCTCGAGCAGTCAAGTTGAAGTATTACTAGTAGAAGCAACTCTCTCAGTAGCTTCAAGAAAGTCTTTTAGAGATCCCTCGGCGAGTGGATTCAAAATATCGGTATATTTCTCGACTGGTGATGTTGAATTAGTACTAGTAAAAGTAGCTCTTTCAGTAGCTTCAGCGAGTTCTTTTTTGGATGGTCTTCCCTTCTTAACTTTACCATCCTCTGTCTTTGGATGCTTATAACCTGATCGACATGGTTTCTTTCGCTCTGTTTTCTTCTGAGGTGTAAGATTATGGTCAACTTCTTTTCTTGTTATTGAAGGAATGAGTATCGTTTGTTGATTGATAGAACTGGAGAATCGGATGAAGGGCTAATAATTTTGAGCCATCTAAAATTCTCTGGTAAGAGTCCTGATTGACAGTAAATTGTTTCAAGAATTGATAAACCATACTCGAAATCGAGGCCTCAAAATCACGTAATCTGGCTTCAGCAATATTGACACTAGAAAATAATTGGGGAGGTGCCACATTTCCGATTGCTGGGCCATTACGCATGGGTAAAGCTGATGGGATAGCACCACCTGACGCGAGGAGAACCCTTTCTGCTACAGGCACAGCTGGTGTAGGTAATTTATTTAGTAGTAGGGGAGCACCCAGAGTAGGAACATTATTTGAGTGAAGGTAAGAGGGTAAGGCATGTGGACCAGTCAGCGGTGTCGATAAGTTTCTTGAAAGCTCCGGTTGTACCCTACACGCTTCACTGCTCGTATCTTGTTCAATGTTTAGCATTGAAAAATCTTCATGAGGTGGGAAAGCTGGTAGACTGGTCAAAACTTGTGAATCTGTCGATGAATTAGAAGTGTGTACCATGTGGTCACATCTTACGGATGTCATTGATAATTTGGCCGTCGATGAAGGCGCCGCAACATTCGATTGCGAGGCAATTCGAACCCCTGTGAAGCCTGAAGCAGTGTTGAGCTGGCTTCCTCCGTTGGGCATCGAGATGGCGTGTTCTAGAGACTTGTCTCGAGATTCAGCTGTGAATTTGAATCCTACACTGGGAGCTCTTTGTGGTGAAGGTCCGGAGAAGTTGGTATTTGATGGTAAATAAACCAGCGGCTCGGCTACTGATTCGGCTTTAGATTGAGAGCGAGTCAGGTCTTGGATGCACATGAAATAGATGTAATTGCTTAGTTGAGGTTGAGGTTGAAGTGTGGTGTTGACAATAGGGGATGTCTTTGAGAGAGGTATGGCAGATGCTATCTTTTGTGATTTGAGTGGTGGTATTGGTAAGATGGGAATTCTGTTTTGATTGAATGTGTGCTGAGATTAGCTTGAAGTTTAAAAGGTGGTAGAAGTACTGATGTATGATGGGTAGTTTGTATAAATAATCCTCTTCTTTGGTTTCTCTTGTCCTCTATTTATATTTGCTTCTCCTCCTGGTACTACGGTATCGCAGCTGAGTCTCAGCTCTCGAATTCAAAAGCAAAAATTCTTGATGAGTTAGGTACTGAGTTGCGGTTGACAACTGGTGGCGGACCGATCAACTTCACCCGTAACGCTCAAAGTCGGCTGTTGTGGGATGCAAGACTGTGACCGGCCTTTTTACTGTGCAATGTACCGGTAAATCGCGCCATTCAAACATTTGTTCATCCGCCACGTCCAAACACTGCCAGCAGAAACTACTAGGACATGGTTGTTCTAGAAGTCCTAGGACCAGAGTTGTCCTAGATGTTCCTTGTCTGGACAAGGAAAAACTAGGACAAAGCCTGTCCAAGGAAATCTAGGACAAGCTTGTCCTAGATGTCTTTGTTGGCAGTGAAAAAGACGTGACATGGATAGCAAAGAGCCTTGTGACATGAGCTTACTGTCAACATGAATCGCAAAATGAGTCAGTTTGCTCATGAGCGTCGAAGCTGGTTTAACCATTGAGCAGATTGCACAGGTATTTTGGGGAGGCGCCTGGACAGTGAAGGGGCCCCTCCATTGGGCGTGAATTGCGTACAATGAACGAACTGCCGATTGTACCTCAGCTCGCTGCACTGCCATCAGGTTTGCATTGTGAAGTTGAAGTCTGCCCAGATTCATAATGATAAGGCTCGCGGTATTGGAGTTCCTCGATCCAAGGCAACTGGATGTGCTTCCTTAAATTTCAAATAAGGATTGATCTCAATTCAACATACGCCCTTCTGGTCGGCGGCTGCGGCGTACCCACAACCCGGAAGCAACGCGCCGGGCGTTGGCTGCCCTCCCCCGCCCGAAGGCCTCAGCCATTGTCCAGCTCTGGGCAAATCACTCACCTTTGAAGACCTTCCTTTACAGAATCGACGCCGTCGACTTCCCTAATTGCGAGCTCTGTGGTTGACCCGAGACCACGGAGCTCTTTATCCTGGTATGCGAGGGATATCGGGGCATTCCTCGAACCCTCGTCTGCCAGTTCCAGAAACTCAAAATACTCCGAAACCACCACAATATCTTCATCGATCCTCGAGCCTGCAAGCCACTTGCCGATTAACTGCGAAAGCCGTACCGGTTTTACCGCGCATGTCACCTGCCTAGGTCGGTGTTCTGTTCTCCGAGAAATCGCCGACAGCAAAAGCCGTACCGGTTTTACCGCGCATGTCACCTGCCTAGGTCGGTGCTCTGTTCTCCGAGAAACCGCCGACAGCGAAACCCGTCCCATCCTAACGGGTACATCTATCCCACCCAAGTCCCTTCAGAGACCCTCCTCGCCGACCCTTCCTTGGTTATCAAGTCCCCACCTCACCCTCTATCTCACTCTTAACACCAACATCACCCACCCTCCACTTTCTTATTTTCCCACCTCCTCTATACTTATAATTCTATTATGCTATCTCTTATTCTTCTTCTTATATCTTCTCTCTTTCTCTACTTCCTCTCTCTTAGCTGCGCCTTGCTTTATCTACTGGCTGGAAGCCAGAGTAAGTGAATACGCCCAACCCAAGTCACCAGACGGCCGGAATCTTCTGTCTCAACTACCACCTGAGACCAAAAGAGATCTGACCAACCTATTACAGGGACATCACCCTGCGCCCAAAAAAAAGCCCGCCCAGCTTTGCTTGTCTGGCGTGGCAGGACGGACCCGAAACTAGCTTGGCAAGGAGTCGACGTGGAAGCTCTTTCCCTGCTTAGCACCCTGTAGATCCCTCAATTCCCTCTCTTTTCTCATTAACATACCGCCCAAGGTCTGCCTCCAGTAGCGTTCTCTCACTTGCCTCCGACTCCCACCCTCAGTTCAAAGCTTTTTTGTTACACCCTGGCTGTTCATCACTGAGTTTTGCTATAGTTCGGTTTGTCTCTATGAGAGTAAGTAACGCACTTGAGAGTTTTGATTTTTTGAAAAAAAGATAATGGCATGAACTGAAGAAACGAGTTCATCTCATTGCTAAGAGCATCCGTATTGGTGCGCCTCTATTACTGAATTTAAAGGTCAGCCCTCAAAGTTTACTGGAAAACCTGTGCAGTGGCAGCTCCTATTGTTAAAGAATTTAGGGGCCGCCTCCAAATTTGGTGAGATAGAGGCAAGCAGCAAATCCGTTCACTTGCCCTACCCCGTACCCACAAGACATGTACACACCTCAAAGTGTACGTAAGATGACTGATCCACACCTTGCCACAATTCAAAGTAGTGTAACCATTACTCATCATCCATACCTGTCTAGGGATGAGGGCCAAATCGTTGCGCCCTGAGCCTTTTTAGCAATATAGGTCCGGATTTGGGGGCCCACCACAATGTACACATATATTACATACAGTACTGGAACACTCTGTTATGTCTAATGTGTGCCGACGGCGTTCGGAGGCACAGCCAGACTCAGAATCTCCTTGTCCAGGACACTCTGGACACTGTACAGCACTACTGTAGATTTGACAAATGTTGTCACCGGCTCTTCACTGAGATTGGCTGGCCACGCGCGGACCATCAGCGAAGAGCCGGTGAAAACATTTGTCAAATCTACAGTACCTACAGAAGCCAAAAAGGTGGTCCGTTCTGACTGCGTAGAGTAGTGAATGGCGGGTCTCGATCTATCTCCGCCTATCTCATGGTCTCAATCTTTGCACTACCTAAATCCAGACAAGTCCGAGTTTGACACTCAACACCTTACACTTATGTGCAGTTACAGTCACAACAGACTGTAGTAACTGATGAGGTAAGCAATGACTTACCATGATTGCTTATCATCCAAACAAAGGTGATCAGTAATCCTTCTTGAGAAACCCTTGTCAACCTCATTCACCCTTGACTCACATCTATCAAAATGGAAAATGTGACTCCATCCAAGACTTGCCTATATTGGGAGTAGTTTTGTCCAAGTTGCCAAAAAGTGCTTTTGTGAAGATCAAGTGCTGAAGGAGTGGCTTGAGAACTTTGTGTGATTAGGTAAGCCATGTTCAAAAATGGTTTTGGGTGGGTTAATAAAAGGGTTAGAGCATTGAACTGTGCCAGTGCTGTTTGACATATAGTCAGTGCTTTGTAGCATGAGGTTCAAGGAGAAGCAGCAGTAAGACAAAGTACCTGCTCAGAGGCAGAGGCACAGCAATGAAAAAGAGACACATAAGTGAGCGTTTGAAGAAGAG